TGATGAAAGAACGGAAGAAGAAAAAAGTAAGGTTTTCTATAGAAAAACAAGGATAAAAATTACAGCAAATTTCTTGTCAGAAAGTGTGTAGGCATCAGTAGCACAATAGGGTGATTGTAGTTAATAATAATTTATTAAACATTTCAAAATAAATAAAAGAATGAATTTGGAATGTTTCCAACACAAAGAAATGATAAAGGTTTGAGGTGATGGATATCCCAATTACCTTGATTTGATTATTACAAATTGTATGTTTGTATCAAGATATCACATGTAACTCATAAATGTGTACAACTATTATGCATCCATAAAAATTTTTTAAAAGAAAGCCTGCAAGCAAGAAAAGAGTAACATTAAATATTTAAAGTATTGGGAGGGTGGGAGGGATCACCATCCTAGAATTCTATATTCGGGGAAATTATCCTTCAAAAATTAAGAAGAGCTGAGTGCAGTGGTGTGCAACCGTGGTCCCAGTTACTTGGAAGGCTGAGATGGGAGGATAGCTTGAGCCTAGGAGTTTGAGGTCGCAGTGAGCTGTGACCCTGCATCAATTAATGGAGAAATATTGTCAGAGGGAAAGATTGTCAGACTCAAATACATGCTGCCTTCAAGAAACCCACTTTATTTATTTATTGAGTTGGAGTCTCACTCTGTCGCCCAGACTGGAGTGCAGTGGCCGCTCTCAGCCACCGCAGCCTCGACCCACTGGGCTCCGGCGATCCTTCCGCCTCAGCCTTCCAAGTAGCTGGAACTACAGGCGTGCGCTACCACGCCCAGCTAATTTTTGATTTTATTGTAGAGATGAGGTCTCGCCAAGTTGCCCAGGCGGGTCTTGAAGCCGCAGGCTCAGGCAATCTACTCACCTCAGCCTCCCAAAGTGCTGGGATTACAGGCTGAGCCACCAAGCCCGGCTCAAGAAACCCACTTTAAATATAAGGACCCCAAAGTTAAAAGAATGGAAGAAATTATACCATGCCAACACTGGTGAAAAGAAAGCAGGAGACCAGGTATGGTGGTTCACACCTGTGATCCCAGCACTTTGGAAGGCCAAGGTGAGAGAATCACTTGAGCCCAGGAGTTTGAGTCCTGACTGAGCAACATAGCAAGATCTCATCTCTACAAAAAAAACACAGAACTTAGCTGGGCATGGTGGCACATGCCTGTAGTCCCAGCTTCTTGAGAAACTGAGGTGGAAGGATCACCTGAGCCCAGGAGGTCAAGGCTGCAGTGAGCTGGGATCTTGCCACTACACTCCAGCCTAGGTGACCATGAGAAGAAGGGAGGGAGGGAGGAAGGGAGGAGCTAAATTAATTTCAGGCAAAAAAGACTCAGAATGAGGAAAATTATGAGGAATAAAGAGGGATACTGGGCTGGGCTCGGTGGCTCAGTCTGTAATCCCACGCTTTGGGAGGCTGGGGTGAGTGGATTGCCTGAGCCCACGGGTTCGAGACCTGCCCGGACAACTTGGCGAGACCTCATCTCTACAATAAATGAAAAAATGAGCCGGGCATGGTAGCACATGCCTGTAATTCCGGCTACTAGGAAGGCTGAGGCGGAAGGATCGCCAGAGCCCAGCAGGTTGAGCCTACAGTGGCCGGGAGCGGCCACTGCACTCCAGTCTGGGTGACAGAATGAGACTCCAACTCAATAAATAAAAAAGAAGAATACTGCACAATGGCAAGTAATTAGTTTTCCAATAACTAAAAACAGAGCATCAAAATCCATAAAGCAAAACCAACAGAAAGGAAAGGGAAAAAAAGTCTACAATTACAGTTGGAGAATTCAAACCCTCTGTCAGTGACTGATAGATACAGCAGGAATAAAATCCATAAGGAGATAGATGATTTGAAGAGCACCATCAATCAACTTGATCTGATTGACATTTATAGATGACTCTATTCAACAACAAAACACACATTCTTTTCAAGCTCTCCTTGCACATTCACCAAGATAGACCACAAAACACGCCTTAACAAATTTAAAATAGGAACACATAATTATGTGCTTCTAAATTAATATATTAGTTGTTTAGTGATAAGTAGCCATGAAATGAAGAAAATAGATTTATCATACTTTAATGGACACATTCCCTAAGGAGTATCTACTTTTCTTTCCTTTTATTGTTTGCTCAACAATATAACTTTGGATCCCCTCTACCTGCTCAATGCTCAGCCCACACTTAACACAGCATAATAAAAGCATAAACAAAGCTAACCATTGAAAAATAATCTATAGAAAATAATGTAGCACTTATGACATAAAGGATGAATCCCCATAACGTATAATGAGAGTTTGTAAATCAATAAAAAAAGAGCACTTTTATTCTTGACTCTTAACCTGTTTTCTGGACAGTAGCCAAAGTAGTATCTTCAAAATCCAAACCCAGCAATGCCATTCCCATCTTTAAATTACTTCAATGGCTTCACGTTGCCCTTAGAATGAAGTCCAAACCCTCAATGTGGCCTACATGATCTGGCCCTTACCTACTTATCTGGATTTCACTCCCCATCAAGCCTCTCTCCTTCCTCTCTCGACTGCAGTCAGACTGGTCTTTTCTCAGCTCCTTGCCTCCAGATAGCCTTGGCACAGGCTGATCACTTTGCCTGGAATCACCCCACCACCACCACTACCCACTTCACCTGACTAATGCCCACTTTTCCTTCAGATCTCAGTTTAAACATCATTTCTCATGGAAGAATTTCATCAGTACCTCAAGATTCCTTCAGATCCTCTGCTGTGTGCTCTTCATAGTCTTGAGTAAGCAGATGAAATCATGTTTCTGAGCCTTCAGAGCTCAAAATAAGACCCTGAGAAAGAGTGACCCTTCCAAAGATTGTGAGGTTCAAGGCAAAGCCTCTAGAACCTTCTTACGAACAATAGCCAGGGTTAATGAGAATGCTCGGGAGAAAATTAAAATGAGATTAAATGAAAATTAAATGAGTCTAAGCTGTTGATTTTTAACTTTTTTTTAATACAGACAACTTTGAGAAGTTAATGAAATTCATGAGTCTTCTCCCCAGAAATGTGCACAAAAGTAAAACTTTTTATAACATTTTCAATGTTCCAAGGTTCCCCTAAAGCTTCAGATTAGGAACCCTAGCCATAGGCCTAGTGAGACTCTCATATGCACAAATATATTGGTTCCCTGACTTTGTTTATTTAATCAATAATGAGTATCTGCAGTATATAGATTCCAGTAATAGTAACCTTATAAATAAAATTTGCTTTGCAGTTTTATTTATTTATTTATCTGTTTATTTATTTATTTTTTGAGTCAGAGTCTCACTCTGTCACCCGGGCCGGAGTGCAGTGGCATGCTCCCAGTCACCCCAGCATTGACCTGCTGGGCTCAGGCGACCCTTCTGCCTCAGCCTTCCAAGTAGCCACAACTACAGGTGCGTGCTACCATGCCCGGCTAATTTTTGATTTATTGTAGAGACGAGGTCTTGCCAAGTTGCCCGGGCTGGTCTTGAAACCTCAGGCTCAGGCAATCAATTCGCCTCAGCCTCCCAATGTGCTGGAATGGTAGGCTGAGCCACCAAGCCTGGCTGCTTTACAGCTTAAAAGAAAAAGATTTTCACAAATATTGTCTAGTTGACTCCTCACAGAAACCCATTGATTTCTCTACCCATTTCATAGACGGGAAAACATAAGTAATCCCAGAGAACACAAGTGATTGGGGCTAAGGTAGCCCAGCCAGAAAGAGACACAGAGGTAAAATGCACCCTTTTAACCCTAAGGCTGCTTCTTTCCCTCCATATCGACATTGACTCCAAGGGCCAGCAGTATTAGGACTTGTCCCTGGTGAGGTAGCTGCCTGCTGAACACAGGGGTCATCATATGAGAATAAACTCCGAGGCCAGAGTCTCAGCCCCCAGTTCCCATGGTGATGAGCTTCATGCTCCCCTGTTCCAGGAGGTGATGCAACTCTGCCAGTCAAAAGTCCCAGCAGCAGGACTCTAATATTAAGGGGAGGCAACCAGAGTTCCTTATCTGCTGCCCAGAGAGCTTCGTAGCTCACATTTATTGAGTTCTTAGTACAAGCCAAGCACTGTTCTAAGCTCCTTACAGGAATTAAGTCCTTAAATGTTCAGAACAACATCATGGTGCTATCATCATCTCCATTTTGTGGTCACTAGGAGAGATTAAATCATTTGCCCAAGGTTACACAATTAATCATTTTCAGAGCCAATATTTGAATTCCGGAGCCTGGGCTCTTAACAAAACCACTTTTCTGCCTCTCCTAAGCCTATTGTTCTTAACTTTGGGGGATCAAATGTACCGCGGAGAGTATAATTCAAGTTCCGAACCCTCTCCGGGGAAAATGCAGTTAGGCGGAATTTTGCGTATTCCGGGACTTCCGGGCTCCCTAAGGCCCATGGTCTGTCGACTCCAGACCTAGAACCTCGATTTATCTCCGCTGTAGTGCAGGGAATTGTCCAGGGATCAAAACAGAAGCACCGCCAGCGCCGCGGGCTTCGCCGTCGCCCACGCGGGGGGCGAGCGGAGCCGCGCTGCGCGGTGACGGAGATGTTGGTTCGCGGAGCATCAGTCCGGAGAGCTCCCGGGAGCGCAGCGCCCTGAGAGCGCAGCCGGTCGCTGCGCTCCGGAGTCGGGCAGCTGAATGAGATACGCACGGACCGCCCGCTCGCCTCAAACCGGCGTCCCTCCGGGACTCCAGGGCGTCACGAAC